TATATATATATTTTATATTATATATAATATTTATTTATACATATTTTTTCTACTATAAACAAATCAAGACATTCAATATCCATAAATCTCACTCTAACGAAAAGTATAGAAAGTAGAAGCCGACTTCCTAATATAAATTAAGAGTCAAAAGTTTTGGCCTATTCCAAAGTAGGCTCTCTGAAGTATTCTTTTACATGAGCAGTTGTGCTGATCTCCACAACACTAAATATCTAAGAGGTTCTGCAGTTTGGCTACCGTTCCTAAAAAATAGCGATTTTTTGAAGAGCGCATAAGGTCAGTTGCTAATTCTTCGTCGCTCTCCCACGCAGAATCCTAAAATTCGCTAAATCATGAAAACCAACGTCTAAAAGTTTTTGAAATTCGGCAATTCATGACAATTAGATACGATGATTTGATTTCAATACATCTCTATCACAAAAACTGGACATAAATTTCTAAAGTGGAAACAGTACAATGTTTTCCCTGATTCTTTAAGCCGAAAATGTAAGAAAGCTACCAAAAAACTTTACGCTACTTATTTACTTCCTGAAAAGCGGTATTATAATAGCCAACTTGAAAAGCGTTAAATCAATGATCGGCGGCGGTGAAAAGCCAACAATGGAATACCTGTTTTTTCGCTTTGCGTACGCATAGATTATCAATAGTTCAACTATCATATGCATTTCTATTGCCATGCCCTGTATAGCGGAAAAATGTTTTTTGTAGATCTTTCGTTCTTAACTCTCTTCTATTCTCACTGATTTTTCTTCGTACAGCGTTGTGTGTAATCTCAGAAGTCTTGTTTTGAATTATGTATGGCTCAGGTAGCAAGAGAGTTTTAGCTTGAGCATTCGTTTCTCCTTGCACAAAACTGGACTAAGTCTTGAAAACAGAAATGCCGTCAAAAAGTGTGGCCATACAGTCACTTAATTTGGTGAGTTGAGGAGCATGAAATAGTCTTTGAAAACTATGCTTCTTGAATCGATCAGAGTTCCTTTAAGAACCACATCTCTATCGCTCAGACTACATCTGGAAAGCACGAAAACTCTCATGGACTACATTGGGCAATGGCATCAGTGTTCGTCGTTGGCGACATGGTTGGAGGTGGAATGATTGTATTGCCAAACGCTGTCGTTAACGCAGGTTTGTAGGATATAGTGCGTGCAACGTTTGTGTATTGAGGGTTAGAAACTTACTGGTCTGTGCACAGGTGATTTAGAGTAGATAAACAACTTTACAAAAATAATGACGATAGTTTATTGGGGTCAAATTTTTCTCGAACAAATTGTAGGGTGATAGTCATTACGTCTATCAGCACTTGAATCAAAGGGTACTTTTTAATGATATACGTATTCATATGTCAATTTTAGCAGCCTTAACCTATGATGTTGACAACTTTGCCGGTGCATTCTGCAATGGTTGAGCGTTGGCTATGTCATTTTGCCTATACTCTGCGTAGAGACATGACACAATAATAGTAGGTGCCTCGATTAGGGAAATTGTTTGTTCCTGCCGAGGAAAGACTCAGCGCACTTACTAGTCCTCCTAGCAAACCAGAGGAAAGGTAGTGGTGGATTCTTGGTTATGACAAATTTGGGGCCACATATCACATAATTGCTATGATATTTCTTAGATTTGCGCTCGGAAGTCCACGATTAATTGGCCGAATAACCGTAGCATCTCTCAGCTTGCAACTATGCTTGCATTATGCTTGGTTGATGACATGACAATCCCTTTTATTTCGCGCAATAGAATTCTATAGCTTTGCTGTGGAGCAGCCAGCACCTTCCCTCATGTCAATTTTCGAGATCATCCTTAATTAACTCTCGATGGTTTATTCTCACTTGGTCTGCTACAGGGACGATTGAACAGTTTCTTGGTCAGTTGGCAATCAGTGCCTCATGAAATCTCATGAAATCCATCGCAACAATTTCACCAACAAGATTGCTTTAGATAATCTGCTTTTTGCTCTACAATAAACTGCAGAAGTATTTCCACTTGAAGAGATTATAGTTTTTCTTACGCCTTAAATTAAATAGTTGTGCAGACATCTCCGCGATTGGAGAGCCTTCTAATTCCACTTCCTGTTCCTCGCAAAAAGCGTTCTTTGAAAGTCTTCTTCCGTTTGATTCGTAGTCCTATCTGCTTTCCTACTTCGTTTAGTTTTTTCATCATCGTCTCTGCTTCAGTTTTATTTCTCGAGAAGAGAACAATGTCGTCTACAGAACGAAGTTTCGAGAGGAATCTCCCATCAACTCGTATACCTCTCTCGTTCTAATCCAGTGATTTCATCACCCACTGCAACGCGGCGGTAAACAGCTTTGGCGACACGGGTCGCCTTGTCAAACCCCCTTCGAGATTGGCATGTTGAAGGGACGATGGAAAAGCTGTGCTATTGTAGAGCAGTTCCTGTAGCAGTCGGCGAATGTCCTCACGTATGATGGGTCCACCGTTGGTCGACGAGCGCTGACAGTAAGGCATTAGTCTCGACGCTGTCAAACGCTTTCTCATAGTCAACGAAGGTTAGGACAAGAGGTAGGCGGTGCTCTCGACAAACTTCGATAATCCTCGAAACTGTTAGATGTGATCAACGCAGCTGAA